GGCACTGGGGCCGGCCGCTCGGCTCCGCGAACAGCTCTTTTACAGTGACCACGGCGGATTCCTCACCTGGGCAGGGAAGGGGTGCTGCTCCCCGTCCGGGATAAGGCCGGGTGCTGTGAGGGCATCTGGTTATGCAGCTTCTTTGCCGGTGAAGCAAGTAGTGCCCCGTGTAATAATAACATCACCCGTGGTGCTTGCTGCTCAAGGTGGGGAAAGCTCGCATTGCTTCGCATTTCAGAGCTTAGTAGGCTGGAGCTGCATGTTAGGCGGTTTATTATTTTCAGCAGTAAGACTGGTTTCTTAATTTCTGGCCTCCCGGCTTCTCTTCATCCTTCGCACCTGAAATACCAAACAGGCGTGCTGCCCTCACGGCTGCTGACACACGGACAGCGAGTGAGGTGGGATTGAGGAGCCGCTCCGGTGTAACATCCCACCCAGAACCGCTTATCCGTGAAGGTAAATACACGGATTAACAACTAGCACGGTTTCTGCCCCAGCAGTAGCTGCAGACAACTGTGGGCTCAAATACAGCCGGTGTGTTCAGCATAAATAGACTCAGAAATTGCAACTGTGAAAATTACCTTTTTTTTTTTTTTTTTAAAGAATAAAATATTAAGGCACTTGAGAATTCATTACGCTAGGCGTCAATAATACAAAATTCACTTTGATTTCAGTAACTAAGACCATTCAATGAATGCTTATTTGGGCTGACACATATGAGACTGATACTGAAGAGACATGATGAACCATGGAATAAATGATAATATAGTGCATTAGGTTGAAATGTAGCTTCATCATATCTTGGTGTAACAAGTTATTAGCATCAGCTGCTTTGATTCACATTTGTACTTAAAAGAAAAAAAAAATCTTAAAACCTTTTAGCACATTTATTTTGCTGAAAGAAGAAAAAAGTCCTAGCTCTCAGAAGGACTTTAGAGAAGTCTCCAGAGGGCAACCTTGCTCTTTATTTCTAAAATTACTCAGCCCCAGCGTCATCTGTGTTGGCATTTCCGTTGCAATGACTCTCAGAATATATTAAATCTGGTTGTAAAAATTTTAATGAAACTAAATAGACACAAAAAAACCAAAAACACCCCACAAACAGAACATTTCTGTATTAATGCAGTCTCAGTTTTCAGTCTTGTACAATGTGAACAAAATATAATTGAGAACAGGACATGACGTGCTTTTGCAGGCACTGAGAGACTGTTTACTGCAAGCTAATTAATTGGAATAATTCATTAGGTGATTCCAACAATTCAAACTTTCACCTAAAGGTTACATGGTAATCAATGATGCAGCTTATTGGTGTCATCTTGTGTACTGACATCCCTGTATGCTGTTTTGTACCAAGTGCCATGCAATTAAATCTAAACCAGGCTAAATGACACCAAATTATCACGGTTGGCACACCTGAACCCTGACTTAGATACGTATTTCAAAAATTATAACTCTGCAGCTGTTATCCAGGCATTACTAATTAGTGAGTTTGATATGCAGCTAATATTTTTGTTTCTTATTTCCTGTGACCAAAAGTCTCTACATTTCACAGACAAAGTGAAAAGAACTTTTCCTTGGGATAATGTCTTCATTAGTGTTGTTGTGAAAATGAAGAAATGGGTGTGTGGAAGCTAACCTTGGAAAAGAGCAGGTGGAGACTGAAACCCCTGGAAATCTAGCAAATTCCACCTGCACATAGGCAAGGCTGTGATCAGGACATGATTACACAGAATGTGTGTTTCTAGGGGTCCAAAATAGAAGCTGGTGATCTGATTCATCTTTTATTTATGCTGATTTTGACCTGTTCTCCTCCTGACCTCCTTGTAAATAATGGTATAAACCCTTTGTGTTCTTCCAGCTGTATGTCTGATTTAGGACACAAGTGGGCCTACTCCTTTGTAAACAATGAAGTAATAGCAAGCCTTGCTTTGAGACAACTACTGATTACTCTCCACAGTGCTGACGTTGAATTTGTGTTTAATTTTTTCTTTAAATTCTTTTTCTTCTTTTTTTTTTTAAGTCATTTTTAAGAAGAAGTAGTGGTAACAGAAGAGCCATCTTCCTTGAGCCTTCATTTTAAAACCTGATGGTGATGGCCTGAATTTACCTATAGTTTTTTAGGAGTGGGGGATTCATAGATGTTAGAAAATTGCTATTTTTTTCAGCCAATTAGCTGACAGCAGTCCTGTCCAAAAATCAACTCAGATATCATCCTGTTTTTCCATAGTCCTCCTGCACACCCCATTTTTTTTCAGGGTGGAATATCAAAGTGAAAACACTTTCTAAAAAGTAAATAAAAGAGTTCTCTAAGTAAGTACTGGAAAAAGAGCTAAAATAATGGAGTTGCCTGAGAATAAGCAGAATGAGATGACCTTTAACTTGTGAGTTTATGGATTATTTTACTCTTGGCAAAGAGGGCTGCACAATACTGGACCAAGCCAGGAACTGAGAGTGTGTAAGTGCAATAGTCAGAAGGATAAACAGGTGGTAATTCCTCCCCCTGGAGAAATTTCCTGGCAGCAAGTTCAGCAGGTTTGAAAAGAGAAAACAAGTTGCAGACTGTAGGAGGTCTTCAGAGTTGAGCAGATGTTTTCAGGTTTTGTTTCTGGTTTGGGTTTTTTGCTTTGTTTTTTTTTTTTTTATTTTCCAGAAAAACATATAACTTTACAATGTGGGAACTCTTGCTCTCAAGAAGGATTCCAAGAGCAGCTCAGCTGCATTCTGTGTGCCACCTGTACAGCCCTGGTTAACCATTAATTTGTGCCTTACATTTGCCTCTCAGAGCTCCCAAAGTAGTTGACCAAGACCAGATAATAAATGGTACAAGTACTTCATCATGTCCCATGCTGCTGTTTCCAGGTTTGCTGTAAATTCAGTTTTTTTCCTCTGCTGGTCTAACAGCTGGCACACATCATGTGTGGGTAGTAAGTGCACTTACAGCATGTCAAGGTTAAGGGAAAATGAGACTGTGAAGGTTTGAGGAACAGAATGGGAAAATTTCCAGTTCATGACTGCTAACTGGTTATTACAGTGCTGACAAACAATCCTTACATTGTTATTTCTCAGTCCAGACTCAGCTGACAGCCCTCTAAAACAGGTGACATACGAGGTTGGAACTTCCTTGTGCCAGCTTGGGTACCTAATAGTAAAGTAGCCAAGTGGCCACTTCCAATCCAATGTATACTCAGGTCTGCAATAGAATCTTCCAGGGACATCACTGAGAGCAGAACTAGACTTAAAATAGACAGAAAACAAATCTGTTTCTTCCCTCTCTAACAGCAGGCCAACCCAAAGGACTGAAACACCTATGTAATAAGGAGAAACAAATTTTTGCGTTTGTCTGTAACCTGAGTAATCTCATGTGAACAGCCTGCCTTCCCAGGGCTTTTGCTCAGAGACCTTTCAGATAATGCATCCATACAACATCTGAAATCATACATTTGGGATGAGGGCATACAGCATGCAGTGGTGAATTTCTCCTGTAAGAAGAAAGTATGTGAGGGAGGGAAAAAAAAAATCAACTTTTATTTTTCCCTTTTTTTTTTTTTTCCCTTCACCGGTTAATTTGCATCTTATCAGTGGGGAACTAGAAAGTATTTGGAAAAGGCTGTAAGCAAATCCATAATGGAACTATGTGAGCGAAGTAATTTTCATTTTCTTTTGGCCTCAGAGAGCACCGGGGAAAGTGTGGGAGTGGCTGGGTGCTGCTGCAGATGCTGCCGTGTTGATGAGAAAACCAGAGAGGATCCAAGCGAGGTCCATCCAGCAGTGAGTTATTCTCCTCCCACCACCCCGGCTTAGACATAGCACTCGTGCTGCAGCCACCCTGCCAGAACCCTCTGGGTGAGACGGGACCCTGGGCAAACACCCTCCTACATCTTTCTTCCCTGCTGCCACAAGCAATCTGTCACTCCTCTCCCCGAACCACCCTCCACCTACGTACAAAGCCATAACTGTAAGGAACGCCCTCTTCCCTCCTCCTTTTCCTCCCCACGAGCCTGTTCTCCGTGGGTGAAAAATGCTATCTTCCCAGAGATCTGGTCACCCCCGACTTTGGCTTTGAGACCCAAGCTGTTTGATACCTTTTAGGACTACAGCTTGGAAAGCTCTGCTTGCAGATCTATTGTGTTAGTTTTTCAATTGCATATAATTGCACATGTGCAGGTAGGAAGGGGCTATTTGCTTCCCACTCGCTTTGATACGCCTCCCTTCCTAAGAGGACCGCTTCCTTCCCTTTCTGCTCTCAGCCTCCCACGCATCTAGCAATGAGAAATGCTGCAGAAAACTGACCAGCTACCAACCCGCCCACCTGAGGAGGAGGAGCACCACCAGCAGCAGCACATTTCTCTCGCTCTCAGCTTTTTAAACACAGTTAAAAAGAGCTGTAGCGTGGGTGGAAATAGCTGTAGGGAGTGTGTGTGGGAATGGGGCTAGAGGAAAGTGCATTTTTTCTTGGTAGGACAGTTAACTTCTAGTGGACCAAAAAAATACTCCAAAGATATCTCACTGCTGAGGGTGTCTTTGGCTGTATAATTAGTTCTTGAGTTTCCCAGGTCTGGAAGGGATGAAGCAGGGAATGAAGTAAGTGATGGCAGGGAAGCTTGCCTTCCAGACTTCAGGAGTCTGCTTAGCAAATGATATCTGTATTGCATCTCGTTGTGTCATCACGTCTGCTGTTCTGCTCTCAATGTGTGTGCTTAATTCTGTGAGAGTCAGAGCTGCCTGCATGTAGGAAGAGGAAAAAGCCATGTGGTTTTCACACCATGTGGGTCTGTATTTCAAAATACTGTCCCTGTTGGACCTCTTGAAATAGCACTGTCCCAGAATATCAGTTAATTCAAGATTTACTCTGTGCTTCTATAAGAAATTAAAATCAAGCTTATTTGTGTTAACTGGTTGTTATTTGAGGTACTTTGCTTGTATTACATGAAAATAGCAGTGGAACTAGTAAGGAAAACAGAACTTCTAAGACTTGTGGTATAGAGTGCAAAGTGGTAGTGCTGATTCTTAAGAAATCTCTCTGATAGACTCCAAGAACCAAGGATCCTCAACAGCTGTGAGTTTTTGACTTGGTTTGACTTAGCTATCTGAAATCAGATTTCACAATATATAATTCTCCTCAACATTGTCCTCACATGAGTTAGTTGCACACGTTCTTCTCAAGCCAAAACTACCCATACATTGGTTTTGACTAGATTTCTCACCAGCATCAAACCTTCCATATATGTTGCTGATGCAGAATCTTATATCAGGGTGTGGTCTTTAATGATTCACAGGTGCAATAACAGCCAAATAATGAACTTTGACTCTGAAAGTATTGGAGATGCCTGAAAAAAAGTATTGTGCAGAACATGTAATTTTCTCTTAGTGCGTAGAAGCCTCAAGCCTGGGAACTGGGCTCACTGACTTCAGTGCCTTCCTCCACAGCCTATCTCCTGTAGCTCTGGAAATTTTATCTTAAAGTTGAAAGGCAAATGTAGGCATGCATAATTTTTAGGCTCAGAAACAAAGGAAGTTATGACTAAGCTTAATTAACGCATTTGCATGTGACACAACAGACAGATCAGCTGATGGACTTCTGTTAGCAAGAGCTAGAGCCCTATCAATGGAGATGTAACCTTAATGGAACTAATTATCCTGGTGTTTTAAAAGTCTTACTTGTGAATGGTGAATAATATTTTAGATATCTCCTTTTAACCTTCCACTGAATCTTATGTAACTCATAATTATAATCTACTGGAATTACATACCCAGCCTGAGGATGAACAATATTCCAAATATTAAATTTATGTCACTTGACTGATTTACCTTAAAATGTTGCAGCAATTCCTTTGTCAGTAGCATTTTGAAGCACTATTGGCCTGCTTGTAATTCTATCTCATATTTAGTATTGGTTCAGTTAGCTTTGGAAGTAGTGCTTTTCATACCTTTTATATCAATGAATGTACATCAGATTTTAAATGCAGATTATATGCTTATCTTGCCAACTACCATTAACCTGAAATTTTCCTTTTATGATCTATCTGTTGTGGTAGAATTATATTATTTGAGAAGCAGTTAAAAAAAAAAAAAGGAAAAAAAATCATCCAAACATTTAGAATCATTACAAATCCATTTTAGGAGCTCAATCCTGTATGTAAGATTCCTCTTGGCCTCCCTCTTTTGTTTGTTGTTCAGCTGGAATGTCACACACTTTGGACTTGAACCATCTGCTTCCTACTCAGGGGTCATAGTGAATGACTAGTCACCTATTTTGTCTCCATCAGAATCATAGTGAATTAAGCACAAAAGCATTTGATGCTAATTAGTAGCTTTCTGGAAGACCAGGGAATTGAGCACCTCATATGTTTATTTCAAGAATTTGTTACTCTAAATTAAAGTGAGGCTCTTCAGCAGGACAGTTTGGCTGACAGTGTGACAGTCAGTATCTTATTAAATGGATGTGGTGTATTCAAATCTTTCTGTGTTTCTAGTCTGGCACCTCACACAAGTATTATTTTTACTTGAAAATATCTACATTTTGTTTTAAAAGTCAATATTAAGAATATTTTTCAAATTTTTTTTCTGTTTTATTTCATCCTAGAGTACAATGAAAACTGTTCATGAAAAAAATGACTTGAACATTGCCTAGGGAAATATACTTCACTTAATCCCACAAATGATGCAAAGGACAGAAAAGGACAGAAAAGCAGAGTGGAGAACTTAAAAATGAGGGAAAAACAGGTCAGTAGAAAAACAGAGGCCTTTAAGCAATCAAATAAACATCTATCACTCACTGCTGCAGATATATTCTGTTCAAAGTATAAATTATTAGCGTCCTATATGGGGTAATCATGAGTTTCAATGTGACTCGATTTATCAGCTCTGTGTATAATGATTAACCTGGCAGAAGGATGTGTAGCAGGTCAGAAGGAGAAGTGTTTGTTTTGGTTTCTTTGGTTTTTTTTCAAGAAAGAAATATGGTCACCCTGGATCATAAACAAACTTGCAGTGACAGGGACAGAGTACTTGGTTCCTTGAGCCCTTATTGAGTGGATATGCTTCCCTAGGGATATAGTGCTCAGTGAAGAAAGGCAGTGGCAGCTGTGGCAGGGCACAGCGTGGATTTAAATTGTTGTGAAGGAAATCCATGGTCTCTAGTCTCATTATCTCCTCTCTGTAATCTCAGCCTTGCATCTGCTCCATGGATTTCATTGTGCCACTGGTTCTCCTGTCCAGACCCAGACAGTCCATCGCTCTCTGTGTCTCTGCAATAGCAGGCTGGAGCAGAGGCTCATGCTGTTAACAGCTCTGTATGGAAATATATATCATTATTTCAGAAATAACATGGAACTCAAGGTGATTGAGTCATCCTTTGACACACCTCTGTCTGCCAAGAAAAATGCAGGCACTCCCTTATAGAGCTGTTGCTAAGAGCACTTCTTCAGGCTCTTGGAGTGAGAAGGTGCTTTATTGTACAGTTAACTGCAGGAGTTAACAGCAGGCTTTCAATCTGGGACCTGCCAAGAAATTAAAGCATGTAATTAAAGGCTGTGCTTCTGCCTAGGAGATGTTGCACCATGAAGAATTAGTCTGAGACACTATTCTGTAAATTTAAGACCTTAGAAAAGTGATTTTATTGGCATTTGTAGCCTAAAAAATAAAGAAGAGGAAATTCTGGCCAGCACTAAGACAAAACATCTTTTGTTTGTTTTATGCTAAATTTAAATAATTTCATAAGAAAGCAGAGACTGTATGTAAAGAAAAAAAAAAAAAAAAAAGAAGAGAAATCCATTTTCAATTTGAAATGTTAATGGAATTATTTTTTTCCCCCTGACTGAGCAGGAGAGTCATGAAACACATTTGATCTGTGCATTTCCTTTCCTGTGTCACCATTAGCATCCCTTAGCTTTTGTATGCCTTTTGGAATATTCACCATTGACCAGTTACCTTCCTAGTAAGAGGCAGCTGAATTTTGCAGGTACAGCTGTCACCTCAATTACAACAGCAACATAGAACTTTCAGTATATTTCAAATAGTCTGAAGAAGCAGGCCATGAGAAATGACTGTTGCTTTTTCACTCTATTCTACTTTAGTTCTCACTTCTGTGAAGTAAAGAAAGCAATGTTTCATCATAATATCAACATTAACCTTTTAGTTGGCACAGTAGGACACCATACTCTGATAACAAATGACATCTGGTCAGTGCTCCTTTTAGTGAGGTAAAACATAAATATAGTTTATCTATATGTTTCCAGTGCATGTACCAGTGAAAAAACAGTAAACAACACCAGTAAAAAGCCACATAGCACAATGACCCAGGATTATGGGATCCAGAGGAAGAAGGTTCAGATACTTTGAATTTCTGTGCTGCTTTACAATTCAACACAATATATTTTCCAGTTATATCTTAAAGAAAACTGTTCTGTGAACTGTTATAAACTGATATTTAAAAGGGTCTGTTTTACAAGGGATGTATGCTTTTTCTTTCCAAGCAAATAATTTGAACACGGCTTCACATGTGAGCCTGTAACTCTGCCACCTGTCGGCTGTTACCCAGTTCTGCAGAAGGAAATGAGCCTATTTTTTTAGCACAGGACAAACAAATTCTCCATGTACTAAAATGTGTTCACTCAGCCACATTCCTTTCCCCAGGAGTCTTTCAATTTATCTTTTCTTCTGAGGAAATTTCCCATCTATCTAAGAATTTCCCACCTTCTTTGCTTTCTAAGTTTAAAAAAAAAAAAAAACAACAAAAAAAAGCTTAGTATTTCTATTTACAGAAGTAAAAAGCCCCAAACTCCATCATGTTCTCCAGTATGTCATTTCAGGCAGTTGTAGGGTATTTGCAATCATCTGTCTGTTTCCCAGGGACTCATTTGCTTTTGTTAGTTATTCACAGTAATCAGTCATAATGCTTGTAGGTACCACAGAATTACTCACCACAGAATGACTGCAACGACAGGTTGTGACTTTGTCGCTGCAGAGTAACAGCCAGAGCAGTTCTCTCTGGAATATGTGTGCTAATTCTGGAAGGTGAAGGAAAACATTCTCCCTTCAAGATGTGACTTCAACACCTGGAAACTTGACTGCAATGACCCCACTGTGTAACCTTCACTTTCCATGTTCAAGAGGAGGAACTCTGCAGGTCTGTTACAATCTTGCACACCCATGTAATACATAGAACATGAGTACTGTATACTTATCACAGAAAAAAACCTATAGCTCAGATGTGTTTCTAAAGAGCTTTAGCTCAGGAAATAGCTAAATTGAAGCTGTAGTTTAGTTCACTTTCTGTCTCCCTTTCCCCGATAGCCTGGGTTAATTAGTAACCGACCTTCCAATATCCATTTCCTCCTCTTGCACCTTTTCTGTATAAACTGTGTATATTTATTCAGCCACCATTGTTGCAGGATCACCCCCACCCTGCTCAAAGTGCAAAGGTTTACCAGTTTTGTTTAGCTTATAAATCTAAAGATGAGTAAGATAAAACAAGTTTGGTAAACTAATTACTGCATTCTATTTTAGTGATACTGTATTGACTTAAAATGTGGTGCTGTTGGGTCAAAATTTAAAATATATTGCAGTTTGAAGGTTTTGAAATTCTTTTCTAGTATTACTATTTCGAATGGTAGTTTATGCTTAAGTTACTAATTTAGAAAGTGAGAAATAAGAGACAGACAACTTATGTATCAAATACATTTGTGTCTATCCACATTTTCATTTTTGCCAATGAAAATTATGAATAACACAGTTTACTGGAGAATTTTCAAGATTAGAAGTCTTACTTCTGAGAGTGCTGTCTGAAGGGTTTTTAGGCATCAGGAGGGCTGATTCACAATTTTACTCCATAGTGTTCACTTTAATTGTTTAACTTTTTTATTGTGCTTCAACCTGAACAACAAAACCCCCCTACAGTCCAGAGCTGATGGCATTTCCTCTCTGTAGTTATGTTATTCAGTACACATCCTACAAATAAAGAAGAAACTGTGATCTTAGGCTTTCCTTAACATTCCCTGCTGTTCCTGCTATCAGTGGCCAAGGCTATGAAAGACATGAGGAGCATTTGACTACTGCTTTTCTGACTTGGACACAGCTGATGACAAGGAGGGGCCAGCTGCTGATAGCTTGCTCTGGCTTCTCCTTCTGTCACTCAGATAGGAAATGCTGCTGCTTTAAATAAATTAGAATGGCTCTGCCATTCTGGAATAGGAAAATTCTTTTCCAATTCAGTACATCTGTATACTGTTTTTAAGGCAAGGTATGAGGATTAGTGGCACTTACTACATGGTGGGCCAGGGAACTGCAAGGCTCATGAAACCACCTGTGGCCCAAAGGGGAGCTGCAAAACCTTGAAACATTTAATTATAAGAATGTAAGATATTTTGAAAAACTGAGGGGGAAATTAATTGTGACACAAAATTTTTGAAAACTATTTACTTATTGTTATTCTAGTATCTTTCAGTTGTTCCCCAGAAGATTACAGGTCTTGGAAACAAAAAATCCAGTGACCTGGGGATTTCTCTTCTGGGCATGTTCCTTTGCTGGTACTTGACAAACCTTTAGCATCCACAGTATCTTTGCAAGTTTTGGACAAGTCTCTTTGTAGCTTCATTTGATGTTTCATTTTCCATGTACAAGAAGAAAAAGTAAATAAATTTGCTTTCTCCAATATAGGTTACTGCTAACTAACCTTTTTTCCTGACTGGTGAATACTAGACTACTCAGCTGTTCCAGAGAACTCAAGCCAAACTTCTGAGAATCCTTCCTGGAACTTTTTTAATACTAACATTCTTTTTGAAAGGAGGAGAATATCCTCATTTTTTTTCTCCATAAATGTTATGAAATTTGTGTCTGAATTTCTCCACATGTGAAAAAAATAAAGCCATATATTATACTAAAATAGAATTATTCCTTACTTTGAAATAGGTTTTGCACATATAATTTATTTTTTTTCCTCCCTCATAGATGCTTTGACAGTTTTGAGCCTTCTGCTAACAAACAGTTAATAGCATGCTGTAGCAATACAAGAAATCCTCAGGGAGCTAGGTTGTACATCCTAAAAGCAGATAAAATCGTCCAACTCTGCAGGAAACAGGCCTTTACTCAACTATTTATAGAACTATTTATAGGGGAAGAGAAGGGAAAGAAGAAAAGGAATTAGTAAATGACTTTAAAAAGCACAGGTACTTAGAATTCATAGTTGATGTGCTGATTTAGGAAGTCAGGAGATATGACAGAAAAAGGGTAAGGAATGTTAATAGTGTTACACAGACAAAGACTATTTTTTTCTACTTTTGTCACCTTCCTGTGTTTTGGAATTATTTTTTTTCCCACCCAGCCATTTCAAAGGCATATCCTTGCAATGACGCATCAGTTTTCTGTCTGCTCGAGGTTTAGAAATAGCTGAGCTGTTATAAATAGATCACAATCTGCAAGAGACTAAAACAATGGAAAAACTGGAAAATCCTCACTGAAAAATTTAGAGGTGGATTGAGATTCTGGCCTCCGTCTCCTAGAGTAAAAGTGCTCGGTTTGAAATGCTTTATTAACCACTGCAGAGGAAGCCGTGCTCTTTGTGCAGCGGGGGGGAACAGCCAGGTGGAATCAGGTGGTGCTTCTGGTCACAGTGCCAAGCACAGAGGGAAGTCCAGCCCGGTCCCTGGGAGCTCTCAGCTCAATGACGTGAGAAGGAGTCACTTTGCTATTCCTCACTGCAAAGCTAAAATATGAGAGGTTACTCTTTTATACACTGTAGTGACACTAAATCACAATGTTTAACTTTTACACCACAATTTTTCTGGCAGTACTTGTGCACTCCGAATTGATAGCATTCGTCAAGTTTGTTTCCTTTTTCTACTTTGCCTCCAAAGCACCTTTAGTGAGGTGTTGTACCATATGGGTGAAACCTTGACCTTTTCCAATAAGGCAGTGAAAAAAATCAAAACTTCGAAACAGTTCAATATCCCTTTGTTTCTGCTTGAGAAATTCCTGTGTAAGGTCATTTAGATCCTGCCAACACTTCCAAACAGACTTTGGGATAACACTTCGGGCACTGAAACCTGATACCTGGGAGTGGTGTTATTCCCTCAGCCATGTACAAATAGCTCATGTCCATTTTCTTATACTTGACTATATGATTCTGTTAAAGAGACTGGGAAAGATGCTTTGGTAACTGTGGATAAAATAAGACATTAAATGGAAGGAAAAACTTTCTCAAGGATATGTTTCTGCCTTAAAGAGGAGCTGCTTCCTGAAACCAGGCTATATCACAGTAGCTGTATCATGACAACTAGCTTAATGTAAACTCTCCATTCCCAATCCTGGGCAATCAGTGCCATCCCACTGATGTGGGACCTGGTCTGTCCCCAGTTGTTGTAATACAACTTTAGGCCAGCAGGATCAGGTCCTTCATACCTAAATTAGCATTTTGTTGAGAACTAAACATATGTTGTTTTTTTTCACTGTCAATTATTTTGTTTCCAGGTTTGGAAAAGAAACATTGCTGTGGAAGAATCCAATAAATTTATTAATGAGCTCGGTAAGAATGTAACTATTAATATCTTCTGAGATTTTGTTTGTCTTCTTTTTATCTTCAGTTTCAGACTCTGAAATAAACAGATGTGTTCTGAAGCTTTCTTCTGAGAATATTACAATATGCTATCTTAAATACATTGTGATAACTGGGATATTGTAGGAAACAAGTAAATAGCTGTGTACAGTATTTCTGAAACAATTTGTACCTTTATATGAAGTAAAGTTCTTTATCTCACATTGCACTTATAGCCCTAAAAAGAAAACATCTAAAATATTCCTTGGATGTCATTAAAGATTTTTCTTTCCAACCAGAAAAGAGAACACAAAATTGAAAAAAAATACATAACTTTGTCCTCTAATATTATCAGAGAGCATTAAATCTGCTATCACTGTTCCATGGCATGACTGGCAATATAGTTTACCTGTCCTAAGCACATTTTCAATAGCTGAGTCTTTCAATTTGTCAAAAAAGTTTCTATTTATTTTACAATCACTTTTGATCAGAGATACTGCTTTGACTCCCAGTGTAACTGAAGTCTGTGGCAATCCTCTTACTAAGTACTCAGGTCCTTTGTTTTTCACAATGAGGATATCATCTTGAGAGTTTGAGAAGGGCACCAGTAAATCCCTCATTGCTTTCACACTTTGAGGGGAGGGACCCATTTGAAATTCACCTAGAAACTAAATTTAAGTACTAGTATTGCTTGGGTGTTCTCCTATTAAGGAAGGAATTAAGAGATCAACCCATTATGTTGGAGGTCCTGAGAGGAAATACAAAATAAAAATATTGGTATGCTTTCTGGGAAAAGAATCTAGATGGTTTGGCTAACTGTGACTCCCTTCTGCATGAAAAGTGACATTTACTGCTTTCATTTATACCGAGGCAAATGCAGCTCTGGAGAGAGTTAGATGTGAGGCCCCTGAAGTCAACAGCTAGCCTTGGTCCAAATTTGGTGCAATGTGTTCCTCAGTACAAAAGATGATTTCACTGCTTGTGTCACTTAAATTTACAGGTACTAAACAAAAAATGCCTTAGTCACGGCTTAGGTTTACAAAGCTACATTTTAGAAGATCTGCATTTAACCAGGGAGATGACTACATGACTGCACTTGCAGATTATTAAAATAAACAAACAAACAAAAACTGGTTCCGGTGAAAAGTGCTGTGAGTTATCACCATTTTTTTTAAAGCTATATAAATTTTGAGAGCTAGCCCTTGTACTCAAAGAGAAGAATATGTAGTGCTGTATAAAATCAGAAGTAATTTTCTTGAATAGTCTTTTCTTATGTAGAATATGGAACTTTAATTAAGGTTGCTTTTGGTCAGGGAATATTTTGCCATGCAATGGTATGGTATTTCCTTTAAAAGCTACTGTCAGAAATTTAATTTTTTAAAAGCTGAGAACTCAAATTCCCACTGACCTGAAGTCATTGACTAGTAATTGGGAAAGCAGAGATATCTGAGTCTATATGCATTTATTTTGTGGCTGTAAAGGACAATAATAGTCAAGAATTTCTTGCTTGAATGCTGGTATTGGCTCAACCCCTTGCTCTCAGAGAGGATAGAAGGAAGTTCCTAGTGATCAGAGAGAAGTGGTCAGTTTGCTGTCCCTTGGTCACATACATACCTGCAGTCATCAAACACATAAGGCTCAGTAGGTACTTGGTACACCCAGAACACAGCACAAGAACCATTTGTTTTACTAAAGTCATGTAGAAGTAAGGACTCATTGTGCAAGGACATAGTGGGCAGAGGAGGTAGGAGGATGTGTCATATTTTTAACTGCTTTGCCTGCCCTACTCATTTTGCATTTTAATTTTAACATTTCTAGTGTTTATTTAGAATAAGATGTTTGAGCATGTGGGAGCTATCGTTTTAAGTTTTAAAAGTTGGATTTTTTCTGGGGACCCCCCACTGGGGACACCAGAGGGTCTAAGTAGATCCATCTCTAAACTCTGGCTGCTTAAGCTTCCTTCCCCTCTGTGAAGACAGGCCAGTGCAGAATTCATTGCAGGTTCAGTGGATAACATAATTGCATAAATTATCTCTAGCTCCTGCCTGGACTACAGGGTCAGCAGGGCTTTGCACAATCTGGAGAGTCATGACAGGATCAAGGACATTATATTTTTGCATCTATTCAATGGCATCAATGTTGTCAGCAGCCCAAGTTAAACATTTATTCTGCGGACAGCAAAACCAATGAAGCTGTATTTCCTACAGGTTTGTGTATTTGTATTTTTACAAATGCAAATTCCTTGCACTCCACTGTGTCACCACTTTAAATGTCTCACCTGATCTTTTTTTTTTAATCCAGTTCCTTCCTCTATTCTTTTACCTGTCTACAAGTTCTTCACTGCTGCTCAGGCACAAATAGTGATTCACTGGACAAATGGACACTGGACACTGTGGAGTTCCTGCCCTGGAATTTCCTCCTATGGAGGGGACTGTCTTAGCTTTCTTTTCTGTATTATGTTGTAGGAACACACTATGTTGTAGGAAATTAATATGTGTGCCCACCAAATTTAATATCTGCCAGTGGGTTCAAAAGTCTTGAGGTGAGGAAAGGTTGATTACTGTATAAGCAGACACCATGCAAAGACAAATCTGAATTCAAGGAAAAAAAAAAAAAAGGCCTATCCAGTGGGAAAAAAAAGTTGGTGTATACACACACAGTAAAGACAGTCACAGTATCCACAGTTTCTGTCCTTTGTTTTGTGCATTGCTCTCCTTTTGCTAATGAATGTAATGCTTTTAGAAGTGTTAGATTAAAATTCAGAGGAAGAGAATACTCTGCTTCCCTGCCAAACCAGACAGACCACTGCACTGGTTGTCTTGCTGGCTGTGAATATTTTGTCCTTGGTTACCATTAACATTGCTGCAGCTGTGTATGATTTGCTGATTCATTTGGTGACTGTTTCTCAGTTCCTCTGCTGGGATTTTTCTCTAACTGGTAACATAAGTGCTTTTAGTCTTTGAAGAAGTAAGGAAAAGTCACACTGTTCCTCATACTAAATTAAAGTCTTCCCAGATTTACCCTGGGATGTTGTATTACAGAGAACTTCCACAAGAGGAAGAAATGAATGTTATTTTTGCCTTGATGTAATGCCTCTCCTAGCAAAGGATTGACTAAAAAAAAGTAGTTTAGTTTTCATTTTATGCAAAATATATTAAAGGTCTCATTAAAAGGAAAGCTTTTCTGTTGACTTCATTGTATTCTGCAGCAAGTCCTAGCAGCATAAATCTCACCTTCAACTTATCTTTCCAATCTGACTGATGTAAATTATCTTTATTTTATTTTTTTTTTTTTTGGCTCAGAATTAAATCTGCTAAAGGACAGCAGAATATTTTGTATCAACCAGAAATTCTTTATTTCAAAGTACAGTTCCAGCTTATTAAAGAAACCATTAAGTCTTTCTATACATGAAAACTTAAGCTCCTAGAAACCATATTTTATTTCCCTTCTAACCTAAGGAACAAATCATGGAGTCAGCTGACACCACCTTGTCCTTTTCAAGCAAGTGAAATATAATGTCATGTGCAGTCCTAGCAGGTATTTGTAATTAATTTTGTTTATTCTACTTTTAAAAGATAACTGCTTTATTTTTTCAGTTTATTTGGTGCTTTCTTTTAGACATTAAATTTGGTTATTTTTTTTTTAAGACATTAAACGTTGGTAAATATTTTTGGCAAGCATTCTCACTGTGATATATGGTAAAGTTGTACAGGGAACACAAATCAAAATCTTTATAGAATAACATATGCATTGAACCAAAATCCCACAGAAACCCATGGGCATGGATAAGTTAACCCAGGTGTGTTTATAGTATGGAGGTTTTTATATGGCATGTTTATGTATGCTTTATATTCAGTTTAGAAAGTATTACTTTGGAATTTTTGAATATCCAGCGATCATGTACATATTAGTGCCACTCTCTTAGCTATCACATTTATATAACCCATTTTACTGTCATTCAGAGCTTGAGGTTTTTGAAAAAGGTATTTCAATACTTTGAATGGATTTTACACTTGACTCAGCTTTTTATTTTGTTTCATACTAGCAACTATTTTTAAAAAAAACCCTTTATACTTCAAGTAACTTAAAACTACATTTCCTTTTCTCTGAAGACTGCTTTGACTAGAAATATTTGTGATAAAGATGCATTAGGACAGTTTGTGAGCAGTGCAGCAGTTTTTCCTAATGCTCATTTTCATAGCTGAAAGAACTCTCTGAGCAAATGTAGTAGTTTGGAACAGACTGCAATCCAGATGTTTATACTCAGCCTGGCTGGAAGAAATAACCATGCAGAGCCCCTACTATGTTCAGTTCTGCCCAGGCTAGAGTAGCTTGTCAGGCTGCAATAATGCTGTTTTGTGCTCAGGCTTTTCACCATGCTCACCTCACCACACTCAGTTGGGGATGGATTGGGCTTTTAAACTCAGTTTTAAACCATTTTTTATATATATGCATAAAAACATTGTACATCACTCTTTATTGGTCATATTCTATTCTCTGTTCTCTTCAGCTGTAACTTCTTGATCACTTACCAGGTTATGCAGAAGCCTACAAAGAAATGTATCTGGTCTTAATTCCTTTATTCAAAGAGCATTTAAATATTTAATTTTTAAAAAAAAATATTTAGGAAATGACCCTGGCACCCCTGATAACAAGTAGAAGGAAGGGGGATGATCACAATGCAAGTATTTAAAAATACACAAAAAAAGGGGGAAAAAAGCTACAAGAAATGGAAAAACACAGCTCCAAGTAAGGCTGCAGAAGATGGTCACATTCTGAGTGTGATGGGCAACAGTGAAGTTATCAGAGATTAGAGAGAAACTGCTTTTAAGGCTTCAGTAAATGTAGTCTGTAACTACAAAGATCTGCTTTTCCTTTTTAATTGACAAACAATGATTGCAAATTATTTGAATTACATATTCTCCCTAAAAGCTTTTGTAGTAATTTGCCAGAATAGTCTCCATCAAGATGAA